CCCAGTACTACGACACCGACGTGAACAAAGAGTACGCGATACGCGGCAACGCAGCAATCTTAAAGTGCCAAGTGCCAAGCTTCGTGGCCGATTTCGTCACGGTGGTGTCGTGGCACACCGATCAAAACGAGAACTTTTATCCGGGCGCGCCCGACGGTAAACATTACTTTTTGCCTTTTCTTTTTCCAGTCGTCCAGCAATTTTACCAGGCGGAAGTGAACAACGAGTACGTCATCCGTGGAAACGCAGCGGTGCTAAAGTGTTCGATTCCGTCTTTTGTTGCCGATTTTGTTTACGTTGTTTCTTGGATTGATACCGAAGGGAATGCCTTCGATATGGATCATAATTACGGTACCTAATCGAGTTGGCCTCGAAACTATCCAGACCTGTGTCTAAACAAATATTAGAAATATTCCCCAACACCAAAACAAAACGCAAAGTGCTTTTCGCCAACAATGTTGGCATCTAATCTAACTAAATCTGACTGCTAAATATTTATACTAATTATAAGCTAAGGTTGAGTGAACACGTAGAGAGAAACCCTGCAATTTTCTTAGTTTCTTCAAAAAACTTTCTTGACCCATTACTGTAAAGATTTAAAAAAAAATTAACCTTTACCTCGCCAGAGTTTTTGTTGCAAGTGCGTTCCACCAACTTCAAATATCGACAGACAGCTAGACAGATAGACCTATTTTGGGTCTTATCAATGTCGGGCAATTTGGTGTTTTGGAACACACCAAAAACGAAAGACACCTGAGCTTATATATTGTCCACCTAAGTCAACAGAGGCGAGATGTAAGAACATCACGTGATTGCCGCAATCGGTACATACTATGCATTTTACATAACATTACAGCAAATCAAATTACAAACAACGTTTGTAAATCTGAGATGCTTTTCATTAGAAACTGTCAAACTGTTTAGTAAAATTACAATGCGTGTAGGATTTATACATATAGATTGTAAAATTACAACTTATCTTAGTAGATTTCCCAACATGTCTTGGAAGATTACGCAAATTGTATTTTAATTTTGTGTTGGTGTACACTGATTTGTAATTTTATTCATCCTTTGTTTTGCAAAACAATTGTAATTTTACAAAAAATGTTAACAGGGTACATTAGAGTGGGCCAAAAAAAACGGCTATTTTTTTTTTTTTGAAAGTATATCGAAAATATTGTTTGGGGTGAGAAAAAAAAATATGGTGAAAGTTTGAGTCCATAATATTAATATTAAGAGGTCTATCATCGCAATTTTAGATTTTTTTTTTCCTGAGCGAGTTTTTGTCCCAGAACTCCCAAATCATTGAGTTTAACAAAATTGACTTAGAAATATTTTTTGAAGAAAATTGAATGCTCTACAAAAAAGGTTTGATTGGAATTTCCCGTCAGATGAACCGTTTTCTTACAATCATGCCTTAAAAATTGGTATACTTTTACAATTTGATCTTTTAACTTTGGAATTTTGTAATTCATGTAAAAATCAGTACCCTGAAAAAAACGATAAATTCTTATGGGAAATCAAATGCTCTTCAAAAAAGTCTTTTATCATTTTTGGCTAAATTCACTCCATCAAAAGTTATTCAAGGTTAAATTTAAGTCAAAACTGATTTTTACATGAATTACAAAATTCCACAGTTAAAAGATCAAATTGTAAAACTATACCAATTTTTAAGGCATGATTAATAATAATAATAATAATAAAATTTATTTCCAAAATAATTGTATAATACAGAGCACAACAACTAGGAAGAAATATTGTCAAGAGTTACAGATTAATATCGTATATTATACTGCAGATAATCTGCCAAAGTATAGGGTTCCATATCAATTAAATATTCCATGGCAAGGCTCTTAAAACTAGACAGTTTGGACACCGATTGGATATAACTAGGCAATTTATTATACATAACAATACACGCATAGAAACAGCCTTTTTCAAAAATGGTTAAACGATGCCTCGGGTATTTTAAAGCTCGAGTACGTTCAGAGTTCAATCTTAAATCTATAAACAGATGCATATTCTTACATACAAACATCAGAATTTCAAACACATACAACGCTGTCACCGTAAGTATTTTATGTTTCCTAAACTGCCCTCTTAATGATTCTCCATATTTAAAACCTAACATAGTTCTTAAACAATTCTTTTGAGCCACAAAGATGGCTTGAATATCCTTACATTGGCCCCAAAAGATAATTCCAAACCTTAGCACAGATTGGAAATAGGCAAAATACACTGTTTTTATTACGTTAAAATCAAGATTTCTCTTAAGCACTCTGATGCAATGGTGTACAGTATTAAGTTTTTTGTTCAGCTCTTGAATATGTTTGCACCAGTCTAAGTTTTCATCAATATATAAGCCTAGAAATTTGGTATTCGCGGAAATATTTAATACATGGTTGTTTAAGTTGACATTTACAGGCGTTATAATACTGGACATTTTAGTTTTAAATAAAATACAATTTGTTTTTTGTTCATTTAAAATAAGGCGGTTTTTAGTGAACCAATCCCTAGCCTGTCGGATAAACCTATTGCTTTCAGATGTGACACTATTTACATTTTTTGATGCTACTACAAGATTTGTGTCATCTGCGTAGCTCACAATATTACATTTTATTGATTTGGCTAAATCATTAACAAAAATAACGAATAATAACGGACCAATCACACTACCTTGCGGAATTCCTATCTTTACGTCTACCGCATTTGATAAATATTTACAATTATTTTTGGTAATTTCCACTATTTGCTTTCTATTCGCAAGGTACGATGCGATCCACCGCAGCGCACTTCCCCTCACACCATATCTCTCTAGTTTAAGTAATAAAATTTCATGATCCAGGCAGTCATATGCCTTGGACAAATCAAGAAAGATGCCCAACGCACACTCTCCATCCTCAAACGCTTTTAAAATACGTTGAGAGAAGTCATACACCGCAGTTTCAATACAACGTCCCTTCAGAAAGCCATGCTTGTAAGAAAACGGTTCATCTGACGGGAAATTCCAATCAAACCTTTTTTGTAGAGCATTCAATTTTCTTCAAAAAATATTCTTAAGTCAATTTTGTTAAACTCAATGATTTGGGAGTTTTGAGACAAAAGATGGACCTCTTAATATTAATATTATGGACTCTTTCACCATATTTTTTTTCTCACCCCAAACAATATTTTCGATATACTTTAAAAAAAAATAGTCGATTTTTTTGGCCCAGTCTAGTGTACATGATTAAATTGATATATAGTAAAAATGCAAACAGAAGTTGTATAAAATTAATAATGGATTTGTATATTTCCAAACACTTATTGTAATTCAAATAGAAAATTTTGGTTAGTAATTTTATTGATAATCTTAGTAAAATTAAATTCCCAATATGTATAAAAATTTTACAAAACTTAAAATTCAATTGTACAATAAAGAATTGTAAAATTACTATAAGTATCTGACAAAAACAAAAACATTGTAAAATTGGAACCTGTTTAGTACTTTGGCTTTGACAAAATGTAATGCGTATTAAAATTGATACAATGATTACAATACAACATTTTGTAATTTTACTATGCAACTGCTTAGTAAAAATGTATGACCATCATCACGTGTATGTTGGGCAACACTCGATTTCTCTGTCCTACCAAATCTGGCATGAGCCAAATTCTTTTTGAACCTTACTTGGATGGATCGATTAGTTTGTCCAGAATATTTCTTGTCACAATCTTGACAGTTTATTCCGTAGATCCCCGACTTTTCAATTTTAGGAATCTTATCTTTGGAGTTGCTAAAACGGTCTGAAGTGTGTTACTGCTTGAACTAAAAGCAATATTGAAGTCTAGTTTCCAAAACATCCCTTCCAGATGCTAGATTTAGTAGGACTGAGAAATCGAGTGTTACATACTTGATGATGGTCATAGAATAGGATTTGACAACCTTAAACTTAATAAGCTGCTAGATAGTTACGAAAGTTTGTATATCTATAAGAATAGAAAAAAATCTTTAAATAGCGATAACAGACCAGTACCCAACTCTATTTGTATAAATTAGTTTGTTTACATGTTCACTGAAGCGGTTACGGTCCACGGTTTAGTAAACCTTAGCTTATAATTAGTATAAATATTCTAGATTTAGTTACACTTCGCTTCTGAATATGCCAAAGTACTTTAAGCACTTTGTGTTTTGTTTTGGTATTGGGGAATATTTCTAATATTTGTTCAATATACTACCAAAGTTGTCCTGGTTAAGGATGTCTGTTAGAATTCAAGCAGCGGTATCCAATCGACAGATTTTATGTATTATTTTATTTACTAAAATTGTTTTTTGAACAGAATTGTATCTGTTACTACAAATTGGAGACTGCTGCCTGAAGCGTCCCGAATTGTTGTTTTTTTATTCCATTTTACCCCGTGAAAACGTCTTAAACGTATTAAATTTTCAAAGCCTTAGGATTTCGGTAAACTAATCTTCAACTGCGTAGGGTTGCTTAACCCCAACTTGAAGCTTATCATAAAATTGGAAAACCGATTTGACACGTATTATAGTGGCGTATTAAATCAGCAAACATTAGTCTCTCATTATCCATGGAATAAAACACAACAATGTTTTGCTTTCCACGGATGCTGACTCCACAGTACCAAAAAAGGGTTTCAGATTGTCCATGAAATGTCGCCTAATTGCGCATCTTTTTTCCAGTCGTTAATCAGTATTACGAAGCTGAAGTGGTGTCGGAGTACGTTATACGCGGCAACACCGCGGTTTTAAAATGCAACATCCCGTCGTTCGTAGCTGATTTCGTGCGAGTCGACTCTTGGGTAGCTTCGGACAATACCGAGTACACTTACAAGAACGATTACGGTAACGTCGAGCGTGGGAAATAAAAAAGGAATTCCAGATTTCTAAAAAACGAAAGTAGACTATTCACTTTTTCTTTGCGTTGCGAAATATAGACTGTACGATTCCTTCTTTTCGTTGCAATTAAAATCTGTGAAAGATTCATAACTTTTTTCAGTCGTAAATCAGTTTTACAAAGCTGAAATCCTGACGGAGTACGTGATACGCGGCAACACCGCGGTGCTGAAGTGCAGCATACCGTCCTTTGTTGCCGATTTTGTCCACGTTGAATCCTGGATAGACGATTCGGGGAACGTGCTGAAATCTTCAAACGATTACGGTATAAAAATCGTCACTCGAAGAGCAAGGGCAGATTTTTCGTACCATATAGGTACCTAAATTATTTCCAGAATGTCAGTGATTGAATTTAAATATAAAACATAATTTTTTGGCAGTTGTTTCGCAGTTTTTCGTGACGGAGGCCGAAAACGAGTATGTCATACGTGGCAACGCTGCGGTTATGAAGTGCAAAATTCCCAGTTTCGTGGCGGATTTTGTCATGATTGACGAGTGGAGTGACAACGAGGGTCAAACTTATAAATACGACGATCATGCAGACTACGGTATCAAAAATAAAAATAACATGAATGGGCAAGGGTAGATAAAAACAACTTTTCCCTATGTCCGTCAAATTTATTTATATTTTTTACCTCCCATGAAATATTCCCATATAAATAGACTGAAAATAGACTTTTTAGATCACGTAATTTTTTAAGTGCGATCCAATAAAATGTTATCCACGGTATTCGGCACGTAATAAAAATTATTAACTGAATAAATGAGCAACCATTAAAGCTACATTTTTAAATTATTTTAAGTATATACTGGATGTTGAACATTTACGAAATACAGGGTTTCTGGGAAACGGCAAAAGATATCGATTTGAAATTTTTAAAGTGTTTATAATCCAATTAAGCCTATTTTTCTAAAATATTTTGAACTTAAAACATTGTTTAAAAGGTTCCATTCTTTAACATTTTTCAACAAATTACCCAAGAAAACTCAACGTTAATAATTTTAATGTGTATAGAAAAGTTTATAAACGAGGTGCATACTATACTTTTTCTATGACAAATACTTATTATTATCTTAAAAATATTAAAATCAAAAATTTGTATAGAGCGCCATCTATGAAACAATAGGGGAATCTGTGTGTCACCGTCAAATGTCAAATTTTTATATTTAATAAACACAGATTATGAAGGTTATAAATCGAAATGTATTTCTAGAAAATGGACAGTTTTTTACAGTGAAAGTAAAGAAAATGTTTTATGAGCACTTTACGTGGAGTCCGTGCCCGAATTTAAGTTATAGTTTACTTTTCAAATATTGGCGTTGAGAAACTATTTAATACTTTTGTATTTTTGTATTGAGATAATAAAATAATTTTCACATTTAGTATTATTTTACAAGAAAGGCACTTTATTTTAACGATTGTATGACATTTGACAACTGTCAACTATCTTAAAACTAACTTCAGCCCGTGACTAAAAACCTGTTGCTAACTTCAACCTGTGACTAAAACGCCGTAAAGCCACAACTTGTCAATGTGTATTTAAAAGGTCACTTAGTGTCATGAAAACATGTACGATAATGGTCGTTTTAAAGGTGGGAGTAGAAAAAATATATTTTATACTTTATTGTCTGAATTGTTGATTTTTCTTCAAAATTAGCAAAACTGTTTGTATAACTTTTATATTTTAAAAATGTTAGGCTTATCAATGTTTTTAATAATTCACTGACTGTTTTTTTAATTTTGTTTACAAAACAGTTAATTAGAAAAAAAATTGTTTATGACAACCTGAACAATTGACGCCATTACAATTTTTATACATTGTTAAATATCTCTGAAATTATTAAAATTAATCGAACAGTTATTTAATTTGCTATTTGATTAGGTAAAAACATACCGGGTGTTACATTTAAAATAGAAAAGTTATTAACGTTTCAAGTTAGCCCAATTTGCCCTGGGTTTTCTCGGGTAATTTATTGAATGGAATCTTTTAAACAATGTTTTAAAATTCCGAAAATTCCACCCCCGTATCCGCAAACCTAAAAGCAAAAAAGTTATCTATAATAGCCTGTAGGCTATTGTATTTGTCAAATTTTAACGAAAAAAATTATTAACTCTAAAACTATTCACTTTTGGTATATGACATGGTATAGCAATTTTACTCAGAATTTTATGTAGAATTTAAATGTAAAAATATATGGGGTGTTCTATTTAAAATAACAAAGTTGATTTCACTTCAAGTCAAACCAGAAGGGGCATTTTGTTCGAAATATTTTAGAAAAATGGACTTAATGGATAATAAACGCATTTAAAATGTAATTTTTGTAAAAACACAATATTTAAAGAAAAATAGATAACAAAATAGAGAATTAAAAATCTGTATACGTTAAAATAATAAGAATGGCTGTATTAAAAAACGGTGATACACGGGTATCTAAGTTTTTTAATCTTTATTTTTTAATCTGTTAAAATTTTTCATGGGAGGAAAATCGTGTTGAACTAAAATGACCAAATACAGCGGTTATTTAATCATGAATCTTATATTTGTAGTATGCATATCAAATATCCTATTAAACATAAAATAATAATGTATGGTGTATCTATTCAGCCAAACTTACTTAAGCAAATTATATTGGTACGCTTCGAAAGATTCAACACATGCTTGGACACATGTGGGATATTCTCGACAGAGAATATCAAATTTCTTCAACCGAATTTAAGATTTTATGTTTTTTTTCTTGAATAATATGGATATAATTTAAAACATATAACATAACATTATGAAAAATTTGATTTTGACGCTTGCAAAATAAATTTGAAGTTTAAAATAAAATGACAAATACGTTTTTCATGTGCAATATTTTCTTGTAATTTATTCTTGTAACTTTTATACAAAAGTTGATAATAACCAAGATACAGGGTGGTAATGTTAAAAGTTTGTTTTCGATTTTATTGCATAACTTTGAGCAAAAGTTAAAAAAAAGAGAGAATATTTGAAGCAATTATTGATTAACTTGGATACCTTATATTTAATCCAAAAGTATCGCGAAGAATTATAATATTTATAATATCAAAAAATACTTATTCTTAAATTAAGTGCTTGCATTTAAAATAATATAGTTTTTCTTGAATTAATAATAAGTTTACCCTTGATCCTAACATTGAAGTTATATCCAAATAAGTATAGGTTAGTTCTTGCATTCAACTCCCTATTAAATTACAAATAAGAATAAATCAATCATTAAATAAAAAATATCTATACTTGATGAATGGTGAGATGAACATATACTTGTACATTTAAATAGGCAATATTAAAAACAATCATTAAAATTTATAAACGGCTTTAAATTAATTTCTAATTATGAATAACTTAATTAGTAAAACATCTCCTTAAAACTGAATTATTTTAATTTTCAACGACCCCACCTAATTAAAACAATATTTTTTACCCAGTCGTCGCTCAGTCCTACGAAGCTGAAGCTGACAACGAGTACGTGATTAAGGGAAACGCAGCCGTGATGAAGTGCGAAGTTCCTTCGTTTGTGTCGGATTTCGTGGTGGTGGAAAATTGGCAGGACACGCAGGGAAACACTTATCTACCCGGAGATGATTACGGTAGAATATGTCTATACATGGAGGAAAAAAACTTGCCTCTAAAAATTCCTGATCCTCGATTTCTTGCTTTCAGTTGTCCAACAATTTTACCAGAGTCGCGTAATAGACGAGTTCGTTTTGAAAGGGAACACGGGAATTTTAAAGTGCCTAGTGCCGAGTTTTGTGACCGATTTCGTGCAAATTGACGCTTGGATGGTCGATGACGGTACCACGTACCAATACGAACCGAATGGTTTAAATCAGTTCGGTAATGAAAAGACCCTTTAGTCCTGTCCCAAGACTTATCTAATCCATTTGTCTAAAAAGCGTTCTATTTATAACGATAATAAAACAAACGATGCATTCAGGGCGAATTCGGAAATGAAATCAGGTCATTTATTATTCATAATTCATGCTACTATATACACAATTTTACGCCGCACAAATATCACCAGCATAAAACACAAAGCAATGTTATTATTAATTTTTTTAGTTGTCACTCAATACTACGAGGCCCAGGTATACGACGTGTTCGTAATAAAAGGCAACACCGCGGTGTTCAAATGTCAAATACCCTCGTTTGTTTCGGACCACGTGGAAATCGTATCCTGGCAGGACACTCAGGGCAATCAGTATTTGCCTCCGACCAGCGATTATGGTACAAAAATAATCCCACACATCCTTTATACCAAAACTAAATGGTGTCTGAAAAATTTGTTTGATGTTCCATATTATATTAGTTTGGGCGTATGGCCTCTTTAAGTAAATAAATTATATTGCCAGAAGGCCACGCATAGGATGTGAGCAATAAACAGATTTATGTTTATAAATTATTGCTTTTTTAAAGTTAAAAAATCTGTCTTCTGGCAATTTAAAACAAACATTTCTTATAACTTTATTATTGCTGTTTAATTCAATTATTAAGGTTGCATCAATTCAGATTTAATTCAATTACCAACAAGGATTTCTGTTTTTTTTTATTGAATTAACTAGACTAAATAAAGATTGGCAGTTCAGAAAAACGTTTTGTTTGTTATTTCATTTTTTTGTACGAATATTCCCAGAATATAATCTTGCTGTGGTTACTAAAAGATTTAAATTTCCTTGTAAACATAAGTATAATTTACTTCATAGAGCGAGTTGAACCTTATTGCAATTACAATATTAAAGCACCCACTGCTGGATATATTAAAACTATTAAATATGTAAACTTTTTACTAAAAATAGGTCAGTAGTATAAAGCTGTTCGCTGTTATTTTCATTATAAATATTTACGCTTCGTCTTTGTTTTTAATTTAAATATTTACGTCAGCAAACATGTAAGAACCGATGATTTTAAGTACGAAAATTCGCAGGATATAAAATATTGCATTTTCAAGTAGTATAACATTCGAATATATGTCTTCAACACTTTTGTGTTATGACCTTTAAATAGGTAGCATTTTTTTTGAATCGAAATCACAATTTAAATCACTTAAAATAAGAAATAAGATAAAAAGTTGAAACTGTTGCGAAAATAAGAAATAAGCAATAGGACTATACATAAATAACTTTTAACTTTGGCTCTTATTTTTTCGTATAAAACTTTAAATATTATTGTGTTTTGTATTACTAACAAATTGACGTAGATAACGTGACATATTGAACAGTACGACAAAATTTAATTTGTTCTC